CTGTACTGTCTAGAAAAGTCTACAGAGTAACTTAAATTTTCATATATTTAGGTTCAGAAGAGTATTTACTAACACCTCAAGTCAGCCCAGCACAGTGATGTGTCTGGTCCAAGCTCAGTTGTTACATATTTCAGGGTTGTGTGGCTAAATTAATCAGCAATCACAATTCATCACCCACTAAATAGTCTGGTTCCTTCTCATTCATCAGGAACATTTAAGCTTAGGAAAGCTTCATGCACCGACCACAGCAAGCTGCTGGTTTACTTTCACTCTCACGTACACAGAGGCACCAACTTATGGAACCCCTAAAACCTGATTTGCAATTATTCCACATACTGAACTCTGATCTCCCCTGGACTATTTCCTTATGGCCACTTTAAAAAAAAGAACAACCAGTAGCACTATAAAGTTTTATAACATGACCCCAGTAGTTTTGGCAGCACAGGAATCAACTTTCTCCTTGGAAACTCCCAAGGCAAAAGTTTCTCCACAGAGTGTTGTTGATGTTCCTTTGTGGCAAGGCAGGCAGCTACAACAGACAATACAGAGATAACATCCTACATATTTGTGACTCCTGAGATTTCAGAGCTATGCAACGGGACTCAAAAAAACCCTGAAGCCCGACTACACACTTTGTTTTTAGACTTTACTTAACAACTAACCAGAAAGCTTGCTTGACCCTAGCAAGTTAAGTACTTGTCACATTCTACTTGCCCAAATTAGACCTTTAGCTGAAGTTGTGGGTACAACACACTCCAGAGCACAACAGCCCAGGGCTCCTGGAGCCTTGAACTCTTCATTCCTGTAGCACCTCGCCAAGATGCTGAAAGCAACACACAACGCCACTGTGCCTTGAGTACCGCAGTATGGAGCACAACTGGGTTGGAGCTCAGGATCAGGACAAGCTTCCTACAGACAGTTACTTGACCATTGTCTGACCTACAACAGTGGATCCATGGAGAACTAGTATCATACTGCATGTACTGCTGAGTGTCAGTCTTCTAGATTAATTAAAAGCAACTTTCAATAATAGCTTTGCAAGAACTTTCTCATTCCTATCCATCACCTGCCTTTTTATGAATAAAGCTCCTGCCGAGCACCTTCCTTCCTTAAGCTTCAGCTACAAACTTGCGAGTGTTGCGCAACACCTGTACTACAAGTTTCCTAGACAAAGTAGGTTAGGCACAGTTCAAGAAATGGTATTATTGGGTCCACAAGGACCTCCCGTGAACAGCCTGGAACACCCTTAAGCAGTCCTGAATAGCAAAAATGTGGCAGTATCAATGTTTCTGCTCTCAAAATTTACTCCCAACAGCAAGTCAGAAGTTTCAGCATGAAAATAGTGCCTCCGAGAATTCAAGTTCTTCTGAATTTTTTTCAATGAAACAAAATGAGGAAGTTCAGTAGGTACAGCAAACTGGAGCATCATGGGCGAGAGCCACGTGCATGCAGGCGCAGAAGGCTGGACAGCCCAGGCTTACAAAAGGCCAGATCAAGATAGGCAGTTGTAAAAGATACTGTTTAAGCAAGTGCTCTACATTAAATAGAAACAGGGCAAAAAAATACAAATAAACAGATCAGTCTTTAGGCAGAACAGTCACATCCCACAACAGTGCTGGTCTGAAACCTATCAGCACTCCTGGAGTGAAGCAGATGAGTTTCATTATGTAATAGTAATCACGTCATTAGAGACCTGGTAGTGGGTCACATGCAAAGTTTGTATCTTAAATAATGTATCATAGATGCATTTATACAATACTTTATTAAAAGCTGGGCTAGCTAGAGGGATGAGTTTCACCTGAGTATACAAAACCTTCTCAACACCCGGTTCTAGGCTGTGCCACTACCAGGAGAAAACACTTGCTCAGAGCTGAAGCTCTGGCCAACTCAGGAGATACTCCGGTCTGTGCTACTTGCCAAAGAGTCCAGGGCTACACCCAAGCTATGAATTCTGACCTGGTTTTAAACTGATATTAAAGCAAAATTATCCAATGCTCAACAGTTAATTAGCCAGATAAAAACCAATCATGGCAACATTAACACTACATAGACAATGGTAACTTACCCAGCAAAATAAGTATTTTGCAATTGTTCTTTTAACAAGGTGCCTAGAAATTAAATTCTTTCCCTTAGTATTAGAAGAAAAATCACTACAAATCTTACAAATCCATCACTGTTAGTGACCACCACAGCACCAGTTAACTAAACACACACAGATGGTGACATCAGAGGGAAGCAGAGCTACAGACAGGTTACCAGAAGGCAGAAGCCCCTGTCTAGGTGTGTCGATGTAACTTTTATTACACAAATCCTCCTCAAAAAAAATACTCCTCAGTAGCAAAGCCAAGCTTAACACCATCACGGTTACAGCAACTCGGGATGAGAAGCATGGCGCGTAGTACTTCGCCCTACAGACTTGTCAGATAGGAAGTACACATTGCACAACTGTGTCACCGCTTCCAGACCCCTCCCTGCACGCCAGCTTCACCGAGAGGCATTAAAAGTGCACGCTTCTTTGAGAAGGCGACCCTGTTTTCCTGCAGGACAGGGATTTTAAGATTTGTCACCAGTGCCCTTCGAAAGCCACCTTAAAGAAAGTAAAAGCCAGCCCTGGGAAATGATCTGTTAACATCCACTTATGGTTTAATGATACCCCAAACCTAGAATTTGTCAGAGGCCAGGAGACACCAGACAGAAAGTGTAGACCTGGCACTTCTGTGCCTGCACTGCCACAGCTGTACTGCAGGGAAGCCCGCAGTAGCTTTCACATTTCACTGCAATATGTGGAGGGTTTTTTTCCACAGAAAATGACATTACAAGTCAGAACATCAATAAAATGGTTTAATACATCCTTAGGATCATAAGGACACTTAAGTCTCATTTTAAAAAAATAAGAATTAAGCAATACACGGAGAAAACTTGGCCTCCTCGTTAATTCACCCCCCTCCCTTGCAGCCCCCGTGCTGAAGCGGGATTTCTCCCTGGCGCTGCCCTGACGGAGACGGACTCTCTCCTCAGGAGCTGAAACCCTCCCCGCTCTCCCCTCCCACCGCCCAGCAGGTGCTGGCGTGGGCCCGGCGCCAGCCTCGCCTACACCACCGGCACGAAACACGCTCCGCCACCCGGCGCGGGGAACGCAAGGTGGGCACCGGGGCCCGCACCTCGGCCCCTCGCCACCTCCTCAGGACGTGGAG